ACTTCATGTGTGACTTTTTTATCATCATTTCCTTTGATATTCTCAATTCGTTCCTTACTATAATGGAATGAAAACAAATGTGTACATTATTAAATAATGAATAAACATTAACCACAAACAAATTTGACCCTACAATATACTAATTTTTCATACTAGAAAAACAACCATGCGCTAGGTGGACGTTGTGCTTTAAAGCCTTCGCCCTTTGACTTGTGGGACCTCTTCTTCTCCCTTGAATAAGAAACATTGTGAAGTCTACAATGTGATGAATCTGAAATATTTTCAATAATATAATCATATCTTACATTATAAATATCGCCAAATTGAAATTGTCAAGTCTAGGGGCTTGATGCTTCCCTGCAAATGTCATATGTTGTAGAGGTCAAATAAATAAACTTATGCTACACATATACTTCTTTACACCATTCATAAATCCTTCGCGAACACACTCACCAAAACATGCATCCACAACTATAACATCAACACCAACATTCAATGTTTGCAAGTATGACAAACACATAAAGTTCAAACACTGAAAACATATAATTAATAAAAAACTAACATTTAATTTCTTTACTACTAATTTCTAGATACCTTATTTTCTATTTCCTCTTGTTAGTCAATCAAAACAATCTGATAATACCTCCAAATGAGGAGTCTACACACTTCTACATGGACTAAGACAAACCAATTTTGGAAGAAGGAAAGTGGATACTTATGACCTCAAACCTACGTTGAAAGAAAGGAGAGGGATTGGGATGAGAAGGGAGTNCAAGACAAACCTATTTTGGAAGAAGGAAAGTGGATACTTATGACCTCAAACCCATGTTGAAAGAAAGGAGAGGGATTGGGATGAGAAGGGAGTCATCGATGTTGGAACAAGANTAAGACAAACCAATTTTGGAAGAAGGAAAGTGGATACTTATGACCTCAAACCTACGTTGAAAGAAAGGAGAGGGATTGGGATGAGAAGGGAGTCATCGATGTTGGAACAAGAAGACGGATTGGGTTGAATGGGGACACACTGATTTTGGAAGATAGAAAGAGGAGAAATCTATGACCTCAATGTTAAGCAGATGGAGAGAGCTGGGTATTTGGAAAACAAATGGATTTATCAACTGGGTATTGGTTTTTGCCGAGATTAAGAGGAGGGAGTTGGTTTACCTAGCTATCTCAACCTGATTGGTTGGTATTGAATTAAACCCTAAACGACGTCGCTTGGATTCATCAGGTAAAAAAAGGAAAATTGATCGATCGCATTCATACAAGATCGATCGAACAGTTTCGGATTACCCACAATTATAACGCTAATATGAGGGGGATTGATCAACTATTTTTCTGCTACAACAACACCTCTACATGGATCTATCTCTCACCTCATCAATCAGTCACAGTGTTGGTATGGGCTTCATTTTAAATGACAATGCTTGCCAATTTTGTTAAGCTAAACTAAATTTATTTTAATCGATCGCATTAATAAGTGATCGATCACTAAGGTTCAGAATGTGAAAATTTTATACACTTCTTGATCGATCGCATTAATAATTGATAGATCGCTAAGTTTCAAAATGTGATACACGATCGATCATTATACAATGATCAATCGCTAACATACATTATCATAACAAAACCTTAAAATCTTGTAAAATGTTCTTAACTCTAGTAAAGTTATCGACTTTTGTCGTAAAATTTGCCATACAAGTAGTAAATACTCCTCTCCACTTGTAAGATAATTCACAAATGTGGTTATCTCACACCAAAACAATGCTGAATCTTCCTCAATTACTAAGAACTTATTCACATATGTTGTAAAAATTTCATTACAAGACGTAAATTTTCTTTTGCTATATGTTCTTAACTCTCATAAAGTTATCCACTTTTGTCGTAAATCCTTCCTCATATTTTTTAATTAATCGCAACTGCCTCGTAAATCAACCTTTACGGGTCATAAAATTACCCACAAATGTTATAAAATATAACATACAAGTAGTAAATACTCCTCTATATTTGTAAGATAGTCCAAAAATGTGATATCTAAGACCAAAATAATGGTAAATTTCCTCAATTACTTGTAGCTTATTCAAAAATGTTGTACAAATTTCATTAACTGACTTTAATTTTCCTTTACTATATGAAATCTATCCATTATAGTGGTAAATATATGAATATTCCATTTCACCACATTCGTTGTAAAACCCACTAGAATAAATACCATAGATGTTATATATCTACCTATAAGTTAGTAATATGGACCACTTTTGTCGTAAATTTAATCACCGGAACTCGTAACTTTATCCAAAATAATCGAAACAAAACCTTCAACTCTAATATAATGTTCCTTAAACCTCATAAAGATATCCCTTTGTGTGGTAAATCCTTCTCAAATGTTTTAATTTATCCAGCCTGTCTCATAATTATACCCTTGAGGCCCATAAAATTACCACAAATATTGTAAGATATAATATACAAGTACTCAAATACTTGTAACTTATTCACAAATATCGTAATAATTTCATTAAATGACGTAAATTTTGGTTTGCTATATGAAATATAACCATTTTGGTGGTAATTCTATGAATATCTCTTTTCACCACATTCGTAATAAAACCTACTATAATGACTCACATATATGTTATATATATACCAAATGGAACATGTAATCTTATCCAAAAAAAATTTGAACAAAACCTTGAACTCCAGTAAAATGTTCCTTAAGCCTCATAAAGTTATCCTCTTTTCTGGTAAGTCCTTCCTCATATGTTTTAATTTACTTCACCTGCCTCGTAAACGAACTCTTAAGGGTCATAGAGTACCTACATATGTCGTAAAATGTACTATAAAACTAGTAAATACTCCTCAATACTTGTAAGGTTATCCACAAAACTAGTAAATAATCTTCAAATACTTGTAAATTATTAACAAATGTCATAAAAATTTCATTAAACGATGTAAATTTTTCTTCGCTATATGAAATCTAACCATTATGGTGGTAAATCTATGAATATCCAATTTCATCTCATTTGTGGTAAGACCTACTATAATGACACCCATAGATGTTATTTATTTACCTATACCTTTGCAATATTAACCACTTTTATCATAACATTAACCAACCTAGAAATAAAATTTTTGTAGGAGCTCATAAACTTATCAATACAATTGAAACAAAACCTTGAACTCTGGTAAACTGTTCCTTTACCTTCTTAAAGTTATCCCCTTTTGAGGTAAAAGCTTCCTCATATGTTTTAATTAACCCACCTATCTCATAAATGTACCCTTAAGTGTCATAAACGTACCCACAAAGTCATTGCTAATGACGTTTTTAAATTCGTCATTTGTAATGACGTTTTTTAAAAATGAATTTTCAAGCAGCAACAAACGGGGTTAAAAAAATTGGTAATAAAAAACGTCATTTGCAATGACGTTTTGAATAGCTTAATAAAACCTCACTTACTTTACATCTCAGATTTTTTAACTCTCTATCGCATCTCTCTCTCAGATCACTCTCTATCGCATCTCCCTCTCAAATCACTCTCTCAATCAGATCCCCTCTCTCTCGATCAGATCACCTCTCTCAGATCAGATCCCCTTTCTCTCGATCAAATCCATCTCTCAGATCCCTTTGTCCTTCTCTTCCGCCAACCAGTCGCAGCCCCCCATCTTCTACAACGAGGAGCATCGATTTTGCATCCTTCCCCAACCACTAAACCAGACTCTTCTCTGACAAGGAAGCCAAGTCCATCGAAGACCAGTCCGACGAGCGAGACGAGGGCGGAGATCGTCGAGCTCATCACCTAGCTCGAGGCAAAGAATCCGACTCCTGCACCGATGGAGGCATTGACTTTGCTGAACGACAAGTGGATTCTAGTGTAAGTTTTACTCATCATCGCATTAATTAATTGTTTCATTATAATTTAATGCTATTCATTTATTTTTATTTGTTAATATGATCCACATGTTTATTTTGTAGCCATGAGTTGTGAGCAATAAGTGTGGAGAACTTGAAATAGGCACGCAACCCATATGTTTATGCTGTTAGGTAGCTTTAAATGAAGTACCATGTTGAGGCCTAACTTTGTGAAATGTTTTCAATAATTCAAGACCAATCAAAACATCGTGTGAGCTCTGCTTACCTAAATTAGTTTTCATCTCATCCTTTTAAATGTGAAATCATACATCATCATTATGGGATATGAAATGAAATTACAACATTCAAGTGTAATTTAGTTGGATTATTGTTAATAAGTGTGTCCCACAACTGAAGAATTGTGTGGAGAACAGAGAAGTTGCGTTGACAAAAAATAAAGATGCAGATGATAAAACGTTCAGGATCAACGCAAAATATGCCTACAGATTAGGGCACAAGTTGCATTTTTTGAACTTTTGNAGAAGTTGCGTTGACAAAAAATAAAGATGGAGATGATAAAACGTTCAAGATCAACGCAAAATATGCCTACAGATTAGGGCACAAGTTGCATTTTTTGAACTTTTGCTATCATTGAGAGTGTGAAAAACGAACTTGTCATTAATTATACGACAAAGGTGATACCAAATGAGATGGTGGATGCCATCAGGAGGATGTAACATCCAAATTTCAATAAAAGGACCCTCTGCACATCATTAGGTACAAATATTTGATGGTAAATAATATTCCATAAGGAAGCTTTGATTTTTCATGATTGTCTGTACTGCTTTTGTACATTACTCCAGCAATTTTCTATTGCTTGTATCCTTCACATATCTATTGCTGGTTTTGGATTTTGCAGGCTCTCTCTCTGTTGGATATATTTGCAGAAAACAATCCTTGAACAACATGCCAACATGCCATATGGGCAACACACCTAACATACAATACAGTGAAGAAAAAGAGGAGGATGAAAGTAGAAAAGGGTTAGAGAGTGGTTTGGCTACAATATGTTTTGTGAAGAGTTTGAAAGAGGAAAATGAATAGAAAAGAGTTTTGTACATACAGCCTGTATGATGATGTATAGCTTTTTTGCATGGAGGTTGTTATTAGTGCTTGTTGTTCTTTGGCTTGGGGTACACTTATATAAAGATAAATAATGGAAAATTGAATTCTATTTATTACGGCTTCAAAATGTACAATAAATGAGTAGTATTGTTACTTTTNTGGTTTAATATGTACTGGAATGGGCTGGAGAATTCAGTTAGAGAACTTGGATCATTCTCACTTTAAATTATGTTTTTATGAATTTTATTTTTGATTATTAAATAATTTCAAAATTATTATGAAAACAAAATTAAATTCTAAAATTTATGTAATTTTTTTTTTTTTTTGTCTTGTGAATCATGATGTGAAAAATTAGGTGAAGTAATTAGCTTTTACGAAATTTATTACAAGTAGGTTGGAGATTTTTGGCTAAGAAAAAGTCATTGTAAAAGGCTAAAAAGACGTTTTTAAAACTTCATTGTAAATAAAGGGATAGAAAACGTCATTGTTAATAAAGGAGGTAGAAAACGTCATTGTATTTATTTTTTTTAATGTCTACTTATTCCGAGCTTTGTATTTGAACTCAACTTGGTTTCCTTAACCTACCTGATGTGGGTTGCTTTTTTTTTTTTTTTTTGCTTCATGTTGATTTGCATTTGATAATCTAAGTTAATCCACTAGTTTATTTGATTCTTTGTGAAAAAGAGACTGAGTTTTATACAATATCAAGATGATATTAATTGTATTTATCCTGTCAATATGTGAGGACGAATTTAAGATTTTAACCTACGAGGGTAGTTTTAATTTTTTGAACAAATTGACGAGACTAGCGTACATGGTTTGGGATTATTCATAACTACTACATTAAAATATCATGGATAGCATTAAATTTTACAGCATCATCTTACAGTGTTTTCTTCTCTTTTAGAGATAGGTGCTAATTGAAAACAACTGATTTGCGAGTGGGATTGCAGATTGAATTTCACTAGCAGACTAAAACAAGAGTGTTTTGTAGACTTGCTTTCGGTACGGAGTGAGGCTCACATGGTACCCAACTAAAGTGGACTGTTTCCACCTGTGAGAAAGAACTTAAACCCAAAAGTCATCAGCGAAGATTGAACCAAGATGTCTAAGTGTGCNCTAAAGTGGACTGTTTCCACCTGTGACAAAGAACTTAAACCCAAAAGTCATCAGCGAAGATTGAACCAAGATGTCTAAGTGTGCAGTTCGTCCAAGATCAACTTCAACTTCATACCACTGAACTACTCATATTGGTCCTTTTTCCACCCCTTAGCCCTGAGGTGACAAGAACGTGGGGCTAAACAGTCCCAGCCCAAAAAGTCTTATAAATATCAGCTATATTTTCAATGTGTACTGGTTTAACACATTGACAAAGTCCTAACTTCCTTGCTCATTTGCAGTGTAATGCAAGTATTGCAGGGTTTGCTGGTGAAATGCTTAGCACTGGCTTTAACGTTGTTGGGTTCAATTGGATTTCATCACCAGCTGCAACAGAGCTAGAGAGCATAGTGATGGATTGGCTTGGAAAATTGCTAATCCTTCCCACTTCATTTCTTTTCTCTGCAGGTGGTGGTGGTGTCCTACAAGGAACTACTTGTGAGGCCATGTTGTGCACACTAACTGCGGCCAGGGACCAAATGTTAAACAAAATTGGGAGAGAAAACATGGGGAAGCTTGTTGTTTATGGGTCTGATCAAACCCATTTTTCACTCCAAAAAGCTGCTAAAATTGCAGGCATTAACCCCTCGAATTTTCGATCTCTCTTGACCATAAAGTCTGCTGCATTTGGGTTGTCTCCTGATTCACTAAGGTCAGCAATTCAATCAAATATTAAATCTGGGCTAATTCCATTGTTTTACTGTGCCACTATAGGGGCTACTTCATCAAATGCAGTTGATCCATTGGGGCCATTATGTGATGTAGCAAAAGACTATAATATATGGGTTCATATTGATGCTGCATATGCAGGAAGTGCATTTATTTGCCTAGAGTTCCACTATTTTCTTCATGGCATTGATGGTGCTAACTCATTTAGCCTCAATGCACATAAATGGTTCTTGACCACTTTGGATTGTTGCTACCTCTGGGTAAAAAGACCCAAGTGCCCTAATCAAATCACTCTCAACAGATCCTGAGATTTTGAAGAACAAGGCTTCTGATTCAAACCAAGTGGTTGACTACAAAGACTGGCAAATAGCATTGAGCCGACGATTCTGAGCAATGAAGCTATGGTTCGTTCTTAGAAGCTATGGAGTATCAAACCTCAGAAACTTCATAAGGGTCATGTAAAAATGGCTAAACATTTTGAAGGGCTTATAGCCATGGACAAGAGATTCGAGGTCGTGGTGCCTAGAAATTTTGCAATGGTTTGTTTTTGGGTTTCACCATTAATGGTGGGAAATGCTAATCAGAAGCTTTTAGGTGAAGAAGATGCAAATGAATTCAACAGCAAGCTTTTGGAATCCATTAATGCAACAGGGAGAGTGTACATGACACATACTGTGGTTGGGGGAGTATAAGTGATTAGGCTTGCCGTTGGAGCAACACTTACAGACTATTGCCACGTGAACAAGGCTTGGAAGGAGATACAAGAGCATGCACATACCATGAAAAGTTAGTTTTTGTGACAACATGAAGCTTTTTGGGCTGGTCCACAATTGAATGAATTCAAACTGACCACTAGATGTCCATGTCTGTAGCATTATAATAAAGTTAACTACTTAGGCTTAACCTAGTTGCCATAAATTTATGTGTTCCTCTCTTTGGAGGTCTTCTTTTAGATTTAGAATATTAGCAAGTCGGAGGGTGAATTCCTACCAAATACATGCATCATTGTTTTATGTGTTCCTCTCCTTGGAAATCGTTTTTAGACTTGCAATGATAGTATATTGTATATATATTAGTTGTGTATCAAAAGTATAATACTATAATAAAGTTGTTTTAAAGCATTTTACTCAAATCAATTAGCAATGTATAAAAAGGCTCATAAGGATCATAGAGTAATTTGAGAGATATTATTTTATAGATGTAAAACACGTTTTGATATTCCTATCTAATATGGTAATATTGTTAGCTGTCTTCGGTATTTAACATTTACTCGTCCAGATATTGCAATGGTAATAAACTGTGTCTCTCAGAACATGCAAAATCATACTAATATTCATCATCAGGCTGTAAAAAAGATTTTACGATACCTTAAAGACACTCTTGGTTATGGTCTTCAATTTTTTCGTGGATCAATCAATTTCATTGAAAGAGTACTCAGATGTTGATTGGANGTCTTCGGTATTTAACATTTACTCGTCCAGATATTGCAATGGTAATAAACTATGTCTCTCAGAACATGCAAAATCATACTAATATTCATCATCAGGCTGTAAAAAAGATTTTACGATACCTTAAAGACACTCTTGGTTATGGTCTTCAATTTTTTCGTGGATCAATCAATTTCATTGAAAGAGTACTCAGATGTTGATTGGACAGGTTGTCCAAATAGCTGTAAAGGTGCAACTCAGGCGAGTTGAGGGGTCAACTTTAGCTCAATTCTAAGTACTAACTCAAGTTGAATTTGGATTGGGTTTGAGTTAGGGTTTTTTACATCAACCGATCAAGATGAAACCTTTAACACATAAACCAAAACAGAGAATAATCACAACAATACTAAAAAAGAAAATTGAAAATAACAAAAATAGGATTCTCTTCATCAACTACAGACCTNGGGTGCAACTCAGGCGAGTTGAGGGGTCAATCTTAGCTCAATTCTAAGTACTAACTCAAGTTGAATTTGGATTGGGTTTGAGTTAGGGTTTTTTACATCAATCGATCAAGATGAAACCTTTAACACATAAACCAAAACAGAGAATAATCACAACAATACTAAAAAAGAAAATTGAAAATAACAAAAATAGGATTCTCTTCATCAACTACAGACCTTTTGTATAAACTTCAAAATTACCCAATTGAAAAAATAAAAAAAAAAGGATTTTATCTAACAATAAAATCAATTTTAATCTCTCTCTCTCATACACACACTTATATATAAATTAATGACATAACTCACTACGGTTGTTAAATTGATAGTGGATCCCTATAACATTGAGATGTATTGTAAATACAATGGCTACAATGAATTAGATTATTTTTAGTAATTCAGCAAATTAAGTACAAGTCACATTACTCAGGGAATACACTAGTGAAGTTGATGTCAACTGTGCACATCTATAAATACGATATNTAAATTAAGTACAAGTCACATTACTCCTCAGGGAATACACTAGTGAAGTTGATGTCAACTGTGCACATCTATAAATACGATATNCAAAGCACCATGTGAGCTCTGCTTACCTAAATTAGTTTTCATCTCAACCTTTTAAATGTGAAATCCTACACCATCATTATGGGATATGAAATGAAATTACAACATTCANATGTGGGGTCAATTGGGTAGAAAGAAAAGGAAGAATAGAAAGAGAGGCAAGTGGAGCCAATTGGGTGATAGAGATATGGTAGCGTTCAAAGAGATCTAGCACTCTCTTCGTGAGGTTTTCCCCAAACCCACCCCTCTCAAATCTTAATTCCCCAACCTAGTTAGTTTTCAATTTATTTTTCAAACCTAGTTTTTTTTTCAAAAACGTAATTTAAAATGACACCTTCATATAGTAAAATGTCATTTGGAATGACGATTTAAAGTTGAATTGTTTTCACTCAAAACGTCATTGCTAATGATGTTTTTAAAGTCGTCATTTGTAATGATGTTTTCTAAAATGAATTTTCAAACGACAACTAACGGGGTTANAGATTGCATCAGGAGGATGTAACATCCAAATTTCAATAAAAGGACCCTCTGCACATCAGTAGGTACAATTATTTGATGGTAAATAATATTCCATAAGGAAGCTTTGATTTTTCATGATTGTCTGTACTGCTTTTGTACATTACTCCAGCAATTTTCTATTGCTTGTATCCTTCACATATCTATTGCTGGTTTTGGATNTAAAAAAATTGGAGGTAAAAAACGTCATTTGCAATGACATTTTTAAAAGCTTAATAAAACCTCATTTACTTTACATCTCAGATTTTTTAACTCNCGACAACTAACGGGGTTAAAAAAATTGGAGGTAAAAAACGTCATTTGCAACATTTTTAAAAGCTTAATAAAACCTCATTTACTTTACATCTCAGATTTTTTAACTCTCTATCTCATCTCTCTCTATCGCATCTCTCTCAAATCACTCTCTATCGCATCTCCCTCTCACACCACTCTCTCAATTAGCTCCCCTCTATCTCGATCAGGTCACCTCTCTCAGATTAGATCCCTTTGTCCTACTCTTCCGACATCCAGTCGCAGCCCCCCATCTTCTCCGACGAGGAGCATCAATTTTGCATCCTTCTCCAACCACTAAGCCAGAATCTTCTCTGACAAGGAAGCCCAGTCCGTCGAAGACCAGTCTGATGAGCAAGACGAGGGCGGAGGTACTCGAGCTCTTCACGCAGCTCGAGGCAAAGAATCTAGCTCCTGCACCGACGGACGCATTGACTTTGGTGAACGGCAAGTGGATTCTAGCGTAAGTTTTACGCATCATTGCATTAATTAATTGTTTCATTATAATTTAATGTTATTCATTTATTTTTATTTGTTAGTATGATCCACATGGTTATTTTGTAGCCATGAGTTGTGAGCAATAAGTGTGGAGAACTTGAAACAGGCACACAACCCATGTATTTATGCTGTTAGGTAGCTTTAAATGAAGTACAATGTTGAGGCCTAACTTTGTGAAATGTTTTCAATAATTCAAGACCAAACAAAGCACCATGTGAGCTCTGCTTACCTAAATTAGTTTTCATCTCAACCTTTTAAATGTGAAATCCTACACCATCATTATGGGATATGAAATGAAATTACAACATTCAAGTGTAATTTAGTTGGATTATAGTTAATAAGTGTGTCCGATAGCTGAAGAATTGTGTGGAGAACAGAGAAGTTGCATTGACAAAAAATAAAGATTGAGATGATAAAATGTTCAGGATCAGCACAAAATATGCCTACAGATTAGGGCACAAGTTGCATTTTTTGAACTTTTGCTATCATTGAGAGTGTGAAAAACGAACTTGTCATTAATTATACGACAAAGGTGATACCAAATGAGATGGTGGATGCCATCAGGAGGATGTAACATCCAAATTTCAATAAAAGGACCCTCTGCACATCATTAGGTACAAATATTTGATGGTAAATAATATTCCATAAGGAAGCTTTGATTTTTCATGATTGTCTGTACAACTTTTGTACATTACTCCAGCAATTTTCTATTGCTTGTATCCTTCACATATCTATTGCTGGTTTTGGATTTTGCAGGCTCTCTCTCTATTGGATATATTTGCAGAAAACAATCCTTGAACAACATGCCAACATGCCATATGGGCAACACACCTAACATACAATACAGTGAAGAAAAAAAGGAGGATGAAAGTAGAAACGGGTTAGAGAGCGGTTTGGCTACGATATGTTTTGCAAAGAGTTTGAAAGAGGAAGATGAATGGAAAAGGGTTTTGTACATACAGCCTGTATGATGATGTATAGCCTTTTTGCATGGAGGCTGTTATTAGTGCTTGTTGTTCTTTGGCTTGGGGTACACTTATATAAAGATAAATAATGGAAAATTGAATTCTATTTATTGCGGCTTCAAAATGTACAAGAAATGAGTGGTATTGTTACTTTTTTTTTTTTTTGAGGTATATGATCATCATAGATAACGCTTCAAGTCTCCTCTGTTTGTGATGTTGTGAGGAAGCATTGCTATTAAAGAATGACTACTTAACTAGTAGGTGAAATGAATCAAATTCATGATGGCTTGTTTAAAGCTAAAATGCTTTTGACATTTTAATAGTTGGGTTTAATATGTATTGGAATTGACTGGAGAATTCAGTTAGAGAACTTGGATCATTCTCTCTTTAAATTATGCTTTTATGAATTTTATTTTTGATTATTTAATAGGTTCAAAATTATTATCAAAACAGAATTAAATTCTAAAATTTATTTAATTTTTTTTTGTCTGGTGAATCATGATATGAGAAATTAGGTGGAGTAATTAGCTTTTATGAAATTTATTACAAGTAGGTTGAAGACTTTTGGCTA